ATCATGACACCTTCTAATGTTTGCAATCTCATGACTTTAAATTGTACTTCTCTGATAACTATGTTATATGTTTATTGGCACTTACATTTGAAAATTTTTTTCCTATAAATTTTCTGTCACTATCTTTTGCCCACATTTCTGTTAGAGCTCCTTTTTCTTGTCGATTTTGTTTTTAGTCTCTTGTCATGAGAAACATTTATAATAATCTCCCCAAACTTCTCATCTAGCAGTTTTGTCTATGATGTTCTCTGTTAAAAAGTCCTTATATTGGGGATTTAGCTCAGTGGCTTAAGTGCCTGCCAGGCAAGCTCGAGGTCGTGAGTTCAATCCCTGATACAAAAAAAAAAAAAAGTCCTCATATGAATCCAGGCAGGTGTGGTGGCACACACTTGTGATCTTGGCACTTGGGAGCCTGAGGCAGAAAGATTGCTGGGATTTTTGAGGCCAGCCTGGGCTACAAATTGAGTTCAGCCTGAATTGCACAGTGAAACCCTGTCTCAAAAAGACAGAAAAAACAAGTCCTTATATGTAAAGTGATCAATATGATTTGTACTTCTCCTCTGTCTAAAACATATTCTCTAATGTTATCATTAGATAATTTGCTCTAGAAGATATTTTAAAAATCATCTGAAGTCTACCTTTGAAAGAGTGTTAGTCAGCTTTCTATTACTGCACCAAATACCTACATTAATCAAATTGTAAAGGAAAGTTTATTTTGGCTCACAGTTCTGGAGGTTTCTGCCTATGATCAATTGGCCTGTGGCTTTGGGGCCTGTAGGGAAGCAGCATCCCATGGCAGGAGCATGTGGTAGATGAGACTGCTGACCTCATAACTGCCAGGAAGCAACGGAGAGAAGAAGAGGGTATCAAAGGCACACTCCAGTGCACTTGCTTCCATTAGCCCCACTTCCTGTGAGTTCCATACACAGGAACTAGTATCACAGGCTGTGGATCAATCCTTCAATATAAGAGCATTCAGGAGATGCTCTAGATCCTGACTATGACAGTTAGGTGGGAGCAAAGTTTTGTTACTCGAAAAGTAAGCTGGTTTTTCTAATCTCATTGAAGAGTTAGTAACTCTCCCATTGACTCATGGAGCCTCATAAGTATTTGAGTTTATCTCTGTACTTGTTATTTTTTATTTCATTAGTCTCTCTGTCTATTCTTGATAATGTAAAAAATTTTTCTTATTGCTTCTTGATTTAAACATCTTGTAGGTTTCTCTTTTGCTCTTCATTTTCAAACTTTGGTTAGCTATTTGGCATGGTTTTCTTCCACATAGTGTTTAAACTCGATTTATGGTGATATAGCACAGGAAAGTGCACTAAAAATACACAGTATAAAAATACGCAGCACATTAGAGAGCATACAGTGTGACCACCATCCAAATCAAGAAATGGGACACTGCAGCCTGCCATAGAAGTTTCCCCGTAACTTTGAAAACAATTAAGGTACAACTCATAAAATGCAATTAGCCTTTTTAAAGTGAAGCATTTAATGTATTAACAGGGTTGTAAATCACCATCTCTCTTTAGTTTCATAACATTTTCATCACCCCAGAAGAATACCCATATCCATTAACTAATAATTCTCCATTATTCTTTCCCTTTATTCCTGGCAAGCACTAATGCAATTTCCATCTCTATGAATTTGCTTATTTTTGATGTTTTATATAAAATGAATCATCTACTAGGCAGCCTTTGTTTTTGGTTTCTTTCACTCAACACAGCACTTTGTAGATTCACCTACACTGTAACATGTAGGAGGGCTGCATTCTTTCTTATGGCTGAATAATATTCCAACCTATCGGTACACATTTTGCTTACCCATTCACACCTGATTGTTTCCACCTTTTGTTGCTGTGGACAGTGCTGCTCTGCATGCGTGTTTTCAATTTTAAACTCTTCCCTCACTCTAGCAATGACCGCTTTGGTGACTTATTTCTCCCATTGCTTTAAAAAAGTAATTGTATCACATATTTTAGTGTTGTCCACGTGCTGAATTTTATTCAAATGCAACCATGAAGTGCTTAGGCTTTTGTGTCTAACTTCCTTTATTTAGCATCACACTTTGAAGATTCAGCTCTGTTTGGTACAGTGGTGCCGTTGGCCCTCTGTCTGCAGATTCTACTTCTGGAGATTCAGCCAATCAACCAATCATGAATGGAAAACATTTGCTGTATCAAATGCACACTTTTCTCTTGTCACTATAGAGTATAGCAGCTGCTTACATTGTAATCTTTTGGTTTTACTGACTATCTCTACTTTTTTGACTTCAATAATCTCTTTGATGGCCTTTATTGTTTTATTTCTGACTGAAGATCTATCTCTTTTTTGCTGGGGACTATTTTACTTAATTTCTGGATTTGAATGTTTGCTCATTATGGTTAACCTTTCATGCTTCATTAAATGTGCTGCTTGGAATTTGCTCTAAAAATGGGCATGTATTGTGTACAGTGGCATTAAGTTTTAAACTATAATATTTTATGAATGACTTTCTAACCTATAAGCTATTTAACAACATGTCAGTAAATTTTCAGATATGAGATTTAAAAACTATCACTGGTATTATTTTCTTCTTTTATATTAATCCTAACACATAGTTTATGTGATATTGATCCTCAGTCATCTAATGAGACTTCTATTACATCCTAATTATGGTCAATACTTGTAAGTTTCCGTGAAAAGAATGTTTCTTTTCTGCTTGCAGGAAAGAGAACTTTGAAAAGTACAATGTAAGGCCCAAGGATTTAGCTCAGTGGCACAAGTGCCTGCCTAGGAAGCACAAGCTCATGAGTTCGATCCTTGGTACAAAAAAAAAACTAAAAAAAAAAAACCCTACAATGTACAAATTTCTATTACTATATAACTAAGCCTGTTAGCTGCACTTTTTGTTTCTAGAAGAGTGCTGAAATCTCCAACCACAGCTGATTTTTTATATTTCATTATATCTTGAAATTTAAATTGGCACAATGAGAAAAGACAAACAAAAATGATAGGAATAAACCCTTCACTATTTATAGATGCTATATACCTACAAAGGTTACAGAAAACTATTGGAATTAATGAGATTACTAAGGTAGCTGGATATAAACCTTACATCCTAAAATAAATGTGTAGTTTTATATATAAATAATAAAGAATTAGGAAATGTAATTTAAGATATATTTAGAAACAGATCCAAAACATAAGGTAGTTAGGACTTAGGTGTTACAGAGATGTGTATCCAGAAGATGTTTAAAGATGATGTCACATTTTTTCGGGGGTTCTGGGGATTGAACCCTGTGTTACATGCATGGTAGACAAGTGCTTTGCTACTGACCTGTATCCCCAGCTCAAAATTAGTGTTTTTAGTAGTGAACATTATAAATCACCTAATGTTTGTCACTTTGAGAATTGGTTATATATATTTTAGGACATTATGTACCAGAAACTATACTGCCGTTATAATGAAAATGCTGACAGTTATACAGTGACATGAAAAGATGTGTGTGTGTGTGTGTGTGTGTGTGTGTGTGTGTGTGTGTGTGTTATGATTTGGATCTGAAGTGGACCCAGAAGCCTTATGTGTTCAGAAGATGATTGGATTATGAGGCACTGTGGCCGACTTGCTGTTAATCAGCTAGTCAGAAGAGGCGGATCTGGAATGGGACATCTGGAAGGATATATCATCATGACATGCGCAGTTTTCCTCTGCCATGGCCATGTCTGTCTTGGAGTCAGCTGACCGTGAACTGCAAAAAATGAGTTAAAATAAACCTTCCTCCATTAAATTTTCGGTGCCAGGATTTTGTCCCAGCAAATGAGAAAAGTGACCAAGACAGTGCGCAACATGTTCTTTTTGTGGATCTGGGAATTGAAGCCAGGGTCTTGTGCATGCTGAATATATGTTCCACCACTGAGCTGCACCCCTAACCGTGCAATGTATTTCTGAGTTAAAAAGAAAACCACGAGGTACAAGAAAGCAGTGGCAGACTGATTTCATTTATATAAAATAATTTATACATCTCTAAACGTTTATCTTTACCCAAAGGAGTCTAGAAGCATATTCACCAAAGTGCTGTAGCTCTCATTTCTTCTTCTCTTTCTTCTTTTTGTGATAGTGGGGATAGAAACCAGGGCCTTGCCATGATAGCAGCACTCTGTCACTGAACTACTTATTAACTAGTCTCTTTTTAAAAAATTTTTTTGACATGGGGTATCAGTACATTGCCCATACTGGCCTTGAATTTGTCATCTTTCTGCTCAGCCTCCCAGGTGACGTGTGCCACCATGTCCAAGCATGGCTTAATGGTACGTTGGTGATTTCATATTTGAACTTTTCTTCATATTGTGATTTTTTTAAAAACAGTAAAGATATCATTCGTATTCTAAGGTGATGGCTATATTTTAACTGGGATAATGGTCACATAGGTGCTTACGGTATCACTTTTTCTTTAAAATGTACATACATGATGGTGCATGTCTGTAATCCTAGCTACGTGGGAGGCTGAGGCAGGAGGACAAGTTTGAGCCTGGTCTGGGTAACTTAGAACCAGTTTCAAAAGGAAAAATAGAAAAAGGACTGGGGATGTAGCTTAGTGGTATAGCACTCCCAGATTTGATCTTCAGCACAGAAAGAAAAAGTAAATCTATGAATTAGATAGCATTCTGATACGTATTTCATGATACAATAATGGCATTTCAAAAGAATATATCATTGTCATAATCCATGCAAACAATGCAGCTATTTTGACTTTTCAAAAACTGCATCTTGGTGATGGAGAAAAAGACAAAAAATGAAAAGAGTTGATACATTCTAGAAAAGTGGTGGGTTACTTTTAAAGAGAGTTTCTTACAATGCCATTATTGAGGCATAAGTAAAAACTGGAAAACAGCCCTGAACATGGGGAGCAGACAGGCCACAGCTCTCAGAGGCCACAGAGAATATGGCCAGTCATGAAGTGTTCCCAAGACCCCCACCCCCAGGACAGTCACTGGAGGTACAGTATCTCTGATTACCTGATCAGCACTCCCATAGAATAAGGACAGCGTAGTGGCACCAAAGATGAGTTCGGGCCAGGAGAAGTCGCCGGAGGAGGAACTTAGGAAGAGATGGAAAGCGTTTGAGTGAGGGATGTAGCACTTTGACTTGGCTGTCCAGTTTCCTTCACTGATCTTCCCTGGGATGGCGTAGATGTAGTTGTGCTGTAGCTGCTTGTATCCTCCCACTTTTCCAAAAGCTTTAAAAAAAAAGCATAATGTTTACCATTTCCTTAAAGAGCACAGTAACACATGAGTGAAGAAACCAGAATGCCAAGTAAGACCCAGTGGGGATTGGCAGTATTCCAGTCTGGCACATGACTGAGACCTGGCCAACATTCCCTGTCTCCTGGGCAACAAATGACCTATGAGGAACAGACGTGACCAAGCTGGGCTATTCACATTTGCTCTAGTGTTCTTGTGCTGATGAAACCAAAGAACACTACTTCTCCTCTCTCTCTCTCTCCCTCTCTCTCTCTTTCAGGACAGAGTTAAACTTAGGGCTTTGCACTGAGCTCTATCCCCAGCATTTAAAAATTTTGGTTTTTAAAAATTTTGAGACAGGGTTTTCCTAAATTGGCCAGGGTGGGCTCAAACTTGGGATACTCCTACCACAGCCTTCCAGAGTGCTGGGATCACAGACCTGTACCACCATGTCCAGCTCCTCTGGTTCTGAGATAACATGGTAATCTGAAGCTCTTTTGAATACTTGGTTCATTAAGAATTCTAGATTTAGTCATGGCTGAAAGAAAATATATTCCTGGAATTTTTAGCTACCAGAGCCCAAAAAACATTTATTTGCCTATGCCAGTTTTGATTTAAAGGTCTATCACATGTTAAGTAAAGAATCTGGACTAAAACATAGATTAATATTTTTTTCTGCAGTGCGAGTGAAACATTTATAAAATTTCTAGTTGACATTTTCTTTAGATACTATGGTATCTCTCAATATAAAAATTTTAACATTAAGGGAAAACATTTAAAAAGGTACTAAAACATCGGTTTCACAATGTTTTACTCTGTTTTGCTATGCGATGCCATGTTCCTTTGAAATAGACTCAGTTTTTGAAAAAAAGAGTTCAGAGCTATTTGGAGTCCAGGCTGGCCAATGAGAAGATACTGAGTGACTATAGAAGATATTTCATAGCATTTATAAAAATGAATTCATATGGATTTTTAAAAGGTGAATTTAAGTGTAATGGCACACAGCTGTAATTCCATCTACTTGGGAGGTTGACTCAGAAGGATTGCACTTTTGAGGCCAGTCTAGGCAACTTAGTGAGACCTTTTCTTAAATAATTTTTTAAAAAAGGGCTGAAGGTGTAGCTTAGAAGTAGAGTACTTTCCTAGCCTTATGATGTAAGCCCTGGGTTAATCCTTACTATGGCTACAAACAAAACAAAACAAAGCAATACAACAAAAAGAAATAAAGAAAACAAGATGAAAGACAAAACTTCAAAGGTCTTAGAAGACAATGAAATATCTTTTAAACTTCAATTACTAAGTTCTTAAACAAGATATAAACAGAAAAAGAAAGGCTGATAAATTTGACATCAAAATTTAAAAATATAGCAAAATTAAAAATATGTTAAGCTGAAAGAAGAGAGTCATATCATATGTAAGATTCCTATATATACAGCAAGATAAACTGCTGAAAGAATATATGAAATACAAACAGGTAATTCATAAAAGAGAAAATACAAGCAACCATTAAGTAAATGAAAAGATGCTCAGCCTCACCAGTATCTAAAAAACTTCAATTTAAACAAAAATGGCACTCTTTAAAAGAATCTATTACATGGGCACTTTAAAAAAAGTTTTTAAAATACTCCATGCTGGATTGTGATGGGGTTAGAAAACACACATTCTCATGTACTACTGAGAATGCATGTTAGCAGAGCCATGATGGAGAGAAACTTTGGGCATCTCTTGCCAAAGCTGGACTTATTCTAAGAGTGTAAGATTCAGTAGCATTCAAAACCAAGTCAGCATGGTTGACCATGTTACTGGTAAAAAGGAGAAAAGAGAAAAATGATACATTAATCTCAGTAGGTGAGAAAAAATACTTGATACAATCAAAACACTAGTTGTGGTATACAATCCTTGGGACCTAGGAATGGAAAGAAATTCTATTAGTTTGGCAAAGGATATCTGCAAGAAATTGACAACAAATATTCTATTTAATGATGAAATATTCAAAGATTTCCCTCTGCAGACTGGGAATGAAGCAAAGGTGCCTGCTGTCTCCACCTTTATTCATCCCTACCAGTGGCCCTGGCTAGTGTCATGAGACAAGGAAAAAAAACCCGAAATATAGTTTGTGGGAAGGAAACAAGAGCACAATTTCTTGAGTTGAGGGCTGGTCACCAGTGTGTGTTCACTTTGTGAGGCTTCGCCTGGCACTGCGCTTTGATTTGTGTATTTTCAGTAAACAAATTACTGCATATACACAGCTAGAAAGATGCAATAGCTCTCTAATTTTTTACATGGAAATATGCGTATATTATAGTATCAGTGATGGGAAAACAGGCTATAAAACTGCATTTTCAATTTGTTGGCACATAGCAATTGTATGTATTTATGGGGTACAGAGTAAACTGGGGCCTCTCTTGTCAAAGCTGGATAACACTTCAATATTTGTATAAAATATGTAATGATAAAAATCAGAATAAATATATATCTATCACCTACCACATCGATCATTTCTTTATGTTGGAAATATTCAAAATCTTTCCTACTAGCTATTTTGAAATAGTTAAATTGTTAACCATAGTTATCCTCCTATGCTATTAGGAATTATTCTTTGCATCTAAGTGCACCTCTGTAAACCTTATTTTTTGATTCTATTAAAATACATATCTCTTCCCATTTTTAAATTTCTGTTATCATTTTGTACTTTTTTTGTTTTTGAAATTAAAAAATGGTGATAATACAGGACATGAAAAATCTGAAAAAATATATCTCATATATAAATGTTTGTATATGTAAAGAATATCTTTGGAAGGATATTTATAAAATGTATAACATTGGTTGTCTCTGGGGAGCGGAACTGAGAATGAAGGTGACCTACATTTCACTGTGCACTCTTTTGTTTACTCAAAAATAAAAATGTAATTGCATGTGCATGGGTTCTTGTAGTGACCAGGCGGAAAAACAACTTTGAATGTACAAGACCTTGTATATTTTAAAAAGAAAACAGTCATTTAATTACTCTATTATGTATACTTCTCTAAGAAACTAACCTGAACTCCCCAAATAAAAATTCCAATAAATTACTCAGTAGAAAACTGTATAGTTATTTAGAGATATAATTACTAACACTAAATGGAATATTCCACATGTTCCTCAAGTTACTTTATTGGATGCCATTATCAACATTTGGGGTAGACTTAACAGGTTTAAAAATATTGATATTTAATACTAGCATAGAAATAAACATAATGGTTTATTGGGTCTGTAGTTTCCATTTTTGCCACTTAAGTTAGTCACTGCTCCTCAATGCATTTTAAAATGATCCGATTTTTCAGACCATGCCTGACCTATTTTATGTGCTCTTGCAGAACTATACTGAGTGTACCTCACAGAATACAAATGCTTCCTGCACGGTAAGATGGAGCACTGATTCTGTTTGAGTCTATCGATTCTTATCCCATGAGGTTCAGCAATATACTCTCTGGAAACATAATCCTTCAAGTGTACCCATATATCATTTCACTAATTCCTTACCCCATAAGTCAAGAACATTTTTGTTCAAATGTCTGCAAGGCTAGTCTTGGAGCCATGCAGCAATGGTCACATCAACACTCTTAGGCTCACATTCCTATCTGTGGGAGGAAATTTTCATTTTGAGGTAAGTCTACCTGTCATATTACAGGCACTATAATATGTTAGTTTCTATATTAGGCTTTGATCTTAGAGAGATCTAGCTCTTGATGTGTCACGCTCTCAGTGCATTTCACGAACAGGACACTTGAGACTCAGTTTTCTTATCTGTAAAATGGGGATTACTCAAGTATTTATGCCTCATGGTAACTGTGATTGTGAGGCAATAGATCAGGTTCTACATAGCCGATATTTCATATAGGCTATTATTTTCATTCTCATAACTTAAAAAGCACCTATTCACTAAGTAAGTACTTAATGCATGAGTCTGTACTTTGGGTAGAGGATACTGTGTGTGGGATCTGAAAGTTTTGAATCAGGAGGGTATGATTTATTTATGTGAAATAATCAACAACTTGGTAAGATACATATAAAAATGTTAAATTATGTGATAGTGATTAGAGCCTACAGAATAAATATGTGTTGATGGAATACTGATAGAATCATGCCTTTGGGGGCGAAACTTCCATTAACCTTGACAGATGGATTTAGCTGAGCAGACAAAATTTGAGAGGGGTTTCCAACTAGAGAGGAGTGTACAGGCTTGGAGATGACTGTGGTGGACCGCAGCAGTGGAGTCTGTCACCTCTGCTTTATTCCTTGACATCTTTTTCTCCTGAAGTCAGCAGAAGTTTCTGCATGACCTCTGATTTTATTTTTAAGTCTTTTTGAGACAGCATCTCACTATGCAGTTTAGGCTGGCCTTGAGCTCATTTTATAGTCCAGGCTGGTCTCGAACTCACAATCATCCTCCTGCCTCAGTCTCTCCAGTGTTGGGATTACAGGCATGCACTTCCGTACCCAGCTAACATGACCTGTGATAATGCCCTAGGCTCCGAAAGCTTCATTCTCCCTGTCCAGGAGGTGAAGGTACTGATGGCTCGGGCAGCTTCTGATTCAAAAGGTCTGTGGGCCAATCTTCTCAAGTTTTACTTACCATAGACCATTAACACAGTGGACCCAAAAAGCATAATGGTAGCATGTAAAGTCTCAGTATAAATCATAGCAGCCAAACCACCTGAAGAGAAAGGGAAAGAAAAGTGAAGGCCACACCAACTCTGTTGACAGTGACTTGGCAGTCTGTATGCCTTTCTCCTCCCAGACTCCCCCTTCAGATTTATGATTGCTTTATATCAGTAGGTCTTTAAACTACTTGTCCTTAGTTTTGGTACATCCTGTCTTCTCTTTTTTTAAAAATTTTTATTTTGAAAGTATACAACAGAACAAGTCAGAATAAAGTCAACTAAGATCGTACAGTGAAATTGGTACAGAACTTCACAGCAGGTTACCGGGATAACAGTAATAGGCATCACAGTATATTTTGTTATCTTTATAATAGTTGTTCTTTTAATCCCGTGTATCAAAATGAGATGAAATATAGAACACTATAGAACTTATCAAAACAGAATATTGAATAGAGCAGTACCATTAATCAGAAAAGAGCAAAACAGTAATAAAAATATTTGCCTTCAAAGAAATGGTGGAAGAAAGTCCCCCTTATTTGCTATGGTCAATCTCCCAATAGGGGAAGTGGGATACTTGACTCTAGGCCATGTAGCAGTAGGTTCACTATTGCTAAACAGGGAGGCAGAATGGTCATTTGTTTTCACAGCATCCTCAGTTCCAACATGGCGTGGATCTCAGGAGACACTGCTAGTTCTCCCCCTGGAAGGGCTGCAGTGGGCCACACTACTGCCGCTTACCAGGGAGGGGAGGTGCTGGCTTGGCTCCCCAGAGTCCTAAGTTCCAACATGGTGTGGATCTCAGGAGACACTGCTGGGTCTCCCCCTGGAAGGGCTGCAGTGGGCTACCCTGCCTCTGCTTACCAGGGAGGGGAGGTGCTGGCTTGGCTTCCCAGAGTCCTAAGTTCCAACATGGCGTCCTGTCTTCTCTTTTTAAAGTCCTTTATGATGATTTGCAAGATTTTTCCTTCTTTTAATTAATTATTTATTGCTACATTTTAAATATATATAATAATCACATTCATCATAGGAATTTTGTACTTGTGCATGACTCATCTCAATTACTCTTTATTTTTCCAATTCTCTTATTCTCCTTCAACCCCTCTTCCTATTTCATAACATCTAGTATAACATTCTGGCCCTTATTTACACTTTTGATTTCTCACACCATAGAAACAACGTGATATTTATGTGTGTGTGTTCGATTTATTTCACTTGAGAGTATGGTCTTGAGGTGCATCCATTTACCTATAAATGTCTCAAGTTTATCCTTCTTTATGGCTGAGCTTCTTTATATAAAAAAACTCACATCTTCTTTACTCATTTACTGTCTCCAACAATGGAGAAGGATTCCCTTTCCCCCAATAGCCCAGTCAGCATTTGTTACTAGTTAATTTCTTGATAGTAGCCATTCTTTCTGGCATGAGATGGAATTTCAGTGTTGTTTTAATTTGTATCTCTCAAATGACCAGTGATGAACATTTTTTTCATATATTTATAATGCTTCATCTAAGAAGTTGACTATTCATTTTAGATGCCCATTTTTGAATTGAGTTAAATTTTTGAGGGGTCTGATTATTTTGGATTCTTTATATATTTTAGATAGCAGTTTTTGAGGAACAGTTAGCGAAAATTTTATTCCACTCTGTGGATTATCTCTTCACTCTGTTGATGATTTCTTTTGCTGTGCAAAAACTTTAGTAAACTTAGACAGTTATTGATTTTTTGTAATATTTGCCTTATGGTCTGGGTTTTGTTTATAAAGTGTTTGCCTACAACTATGTAAAATTTTTTTTATTTAAACAAAACAAAACAAAACAGAAAAGGGTAAAAATAATATATAATTTCAAAAAAATAAACAATAAGAAATCATTAGTTGATAATTACATATTGTCCTTTTAGAAGTAGTTGTTCAAATTACATAAGTAAAGCATACAAAGTGGACATTCAAACAGCAAGACTGCAAACAGTTCTGTTCAACTATCCAACAAAAACTTAGTAATATGGTTATCAATCCTATACACTTAAATATACATGCAGTTATATCCTTTAGAGCACTTTCTTTTCTTCTCTTTTTTACAATATCCACAACTATGTCTTCAAGAGTTGTACTGCCATATCTTGCAGCAGAATTAGTGTTTCTATTTAGATCTTTAATCCATTTTGATTTTAGTTTAGTGCATGAGTTAAAGACATGCACATGAATATCTCAATAGATGCAGAAAAAACATTTAATAAAATTCAACCCATTCATGATAAAAACTCTACAGAACATTGGAATAGAGTCTTTATCTCAATCTGATAAAAGCCAACTTATGACAAACCGATAGCCAATATCATAATAAATGGACAAAAACAGAAAGCTTTCAATGTAAAACCAGGAACAAAACAAGGATGTTCACTATCACCACTTCTTTTCAATATAGTTCTAGAAACACTAATCAGAACAATTAGACAAGAGAAAGAAATAAAAGGAATAAAGACAGGAAAGGAAGAAGTCAAATTATTATTTGTAGATGACATGATACTCTATATAGAAGATTCCATAAACTCCACAAAAGACCTCTAGATTTAATAATCAAATTCAGTTGTGCAGCTGTGTACATCCAAAAATTAGTAGCATTCCTGTACACAAACAACAAATTCACTGAGAGAGAAACTGGGGAAATCACATCTTTAATAATAGCATAAAAATGCTTTGTAATCAATAGAACAAAGAAGTAATAGATCTTTACATTGAAAACAGAGGATGTCAGAAAATGGAAAGATATCTTTTACTCTTGGGTAGGAAAAACAATATAGTGAAAATAGCCATACTTCCAAAACTGTTATACAGATTTAATGCAATTCTGATTAAAATAGCAATAACAGGAGAACATGGTGGACAGACAACAGCAACTACGGGAGGCTCTCTGAAAGGCTCGGCTCAGAGGCCAGGAATGATGCGGACTAAGGAGACACGAACCAGTAGAGATATGCTCTGCTGACTCAGGAACGAACTGGGCTGAGAGAAACCAACTTAGAATACAGTCCTGGCGCTAAAATAGGAACAGAAAAGGCTCGGTGTGGAGGCTCGACCGCGCGCCATTTGAAACCCCAATTTGGGTTTCCCGCCGCGATTTGGGTTTCCCGCCGCCCGGTGGCTGGCTGCCTCCACAGCGGCTCGGCAAGGAGAGACGCGCAGAGTTCTGGGAACGGGAGTCTGCGAACCGAGTCGAAAACAGGACGGACAAGGAGGCGTACACGAAAACTGACTGGTGGCGAGGTGAGTGAGAAACTGACCCCCTACCACAGTTTGACTCCAGCAGAAGACTTTCTGGGCTCGGGCAGTCCTGTAAGAGCAGGGCGCGGTGGCGACTCCAGCCACACATTCCCCTCTCGGACGGGATTGGTGAAAAGTGCCTGGCCTGAGTGACGCTGCTGGCGGACTCCCTAGGCTGGCCTAACCCAGATCCCAGAGCCTGACGGTGGCCCGGAGGAGCGACTGACTCCCGCGTAGGCTGCCTCCTCCGCAACTCCCTGGTGCGCAGCGGTGGGCGGGAACAACTAGCCAGCGCAATTTGATCAGGCTGTGGCTGACAGGCAGGGAAGCCGGGCCTCCTATGTAAGCTTGCATTTTATAAGGAACAGAAAATATGGGGAAGGGAAGCAACAAAAAAGGCTCCTCGGCCCCCAATCCTGAGAAACAGGCAATAGTGGACACCGCACCAATATACATTAAGCGCCATATGGAGAGCCTCATAGACCAATTCAGGAATGAAGTTATCAACGACCTGAAGCTAGAAGTATGCAGAATAGTTAGAGAAATGCTAAGCACCACCCAGATGGTGGAATGGAAGAACAGAAAAAGAGGGGAGAATTGCTTGATGGAGAAAACAGAGAAAGCATTGAGTATGTGAAGCAGGTTCAAAGGGACTATCAAGAAATTAAGAAGTCTATCCAAGACTGGCATAACAGCTTGAAAGAAACTAAGGACAGACTATCTGAACTGGAGGGCAGACTTGTAATATGGGAGAATGAAATGAAAAACTTCTTAAAAATAACAAAGAAACAAACAGCAATAATACAAAGACAAGAAGATGATAAGAGGAGCCATAACTTAAGGATTAAGAACATAAAAGAAGAAGTAGGGACACAAACAAGTGAACTACAAAAGCTACTCACAGAAATAATCCAGGAGAATTTTCCTAATTTAGCAAAAGGTAAAGATACTCAGATGTATGAGGCATACAGGACCCCAGCTACCTACAACCCTAACAGAGAAACACCCAGGCATATAATAATAAAAATTCCAGAAATTCAATACAAGAACAGAATATTAAAAGCTGTAAGAGACAAGAAACAGACTACTTACAAGGGAACACCCATCAGAATTACAGCAGATTTCTCTTCACAAACCATCAAATCACGAAGAGCGTGGGGGGAAATAATTCAAACTTTGAAAGATAATAATCTCCAGCCAAGATTGAGATATCCTGCACAACTGTCCCTGGAAATTGATGGAAAAACGAGATGCTTCCAGGATAAAGAGGAACTGGAGGAATTTGCAACCACCAATTCAACCCTACAGAAAGTATTGCAGGATATTCTAAAAAAAGAAAAATACAAAGAACCCAGAAATAGTGGCGGGGAGGCTACAACGAATGGAGCAGAGAACAAAATGAAGAAGACAAACTGACAGCTACTGACAGAAAAAGAGCTCAACAGAAATGAGACAGAGACGATTGGATGATAGGAACAGCTATTTTGGAGAACATGACATCTTAATAGGTAATACTGATTTAGTACCATCTTGTTTTGAAGTCTCATCTAGCTTTTGTTCTTCTGTCTCCAATAGTCTAAACAGGTTGTATCTTATAGGATTTTATTATGTACGATAGTATAAGCAAAAACCTTTTAAAGACAAGGAGATTATACAGAAACCATTGTTCATTTTCTGTTAGTCGATTCTAAATACTCTATAATGCTGTCATTCTCTTAAATGGTTTTACATTGTTTTGATATACTTAATGCTACAGTATACGAAGTTGTACTCAAGGACTTCAAGGAAAGAGTCAATATGGTAATTACTTTTGGGTCGGAAATATCTGGTGGTGAAACACTATTCTGCTTAAATGGTTATGTTTTGATCTGCCCTGTTTCGCTGTTATGCCCTCTTTTTTCTCAATCTCCACTCCATTATTTACTTTTTTATTTTTATCCGTTTAATTAAAGGGAAAAAATAGCAGGATATAATATAGTAACCCACTTTGACTTTCTATTATCTTGATTTGAAGCCCTGTATTACTCTCACCATCTTGTTTTTGACTGAGGTTCCTCTATTCTGTTTTGCTGGATAGTATCAGGTTCGAAAGTTTAGGCATCAGCTGAGAAGATAATGAGATTCATTATAACGCCCATTCTCGTTGACTTTTATCTACTTTTGAAGACCTACAATATCTCCAATGTTTTGGTTTTGTCGGTTTTATTCTTTACTGTTTTGTTCAATTGTATTACAACTAATGATATAGGCAATTCTATTAGAAATAGCGGGAGGCATTATGGTAACCGTTGTTGATCACCTTGTATTATGTTTTTATGTTATCTGTTATATCCACCCTTTTGACTTGACCGATTCTGTTCTGTTATGTCACATTTGGTTTTACTCTCTTCCAAAAAAGCAATAAGAACTGTGGGAGCAATGAAACCCCAAATGTGTAATAGTCACTGTACAAAAGAGAGGAAAAGAAAGTGCTCTAAACTATATAACTGCATGTATATTTAAGTGTATAAGATAGAAAATGATATCACAGAGTTTTATTGGATCATTGAACAGAACTGTTTGCAGTATCATTGTTGGAATGTCCACTCTACAAGCTTTAATTTTGTGACTTGAACAATTATTTCTAAGATGGCAATATGTAATCCATTAACTAGTGATTTCCTACTGCACATTTTTTTCTTCTGTAAATCTGTATAACTTGTACCCCTTCACTGTTTTTTTTTCTTTTCTCCTTAAATAAAAAAAAATAGCAATAACATATCTCACAGAATTCGAGAAAACAATCCAAAGATTTGAAACCAAAAGAAACTTAGAATAGCACAAACAATTCCGAACAACAGAGGCAAGTCAGGAAGTGCCACAATCCCTGACTTTAAATCATACTACAAAACTACTGTGATAAAAAAACAGCATGATACCGGCAAAAACAAAAACAAACAAAAAACCCCCCAAACTATCCAAGAGCCAAAAAACAAAAACCAAAAAACCAGACTGAGGACCAAGGAAACAGATTAGAAGATGCAGAAACAGCTCCAAATACACTCAAGTCATTTTATCTTTGACAGAGGGGCAAACACCTGCATTGGAAGAAAGACCATCTCTAATAAATGGTACTGGAAAAACTGGCTTTCCATATGCTAAGTCAAAAATTAGACCCCTGTCCCTCATCTTATGTGACATTTTATCTTGTAGTCAGGGGTTGTGCAGAGAACAATTAGAATCAGGACATGGGAGTTTATAATATTGTTTTATGATGGTCACTGGGAGTTAACACAAGAAAAAGCAGGAAATCTATTCACAACACCAAAGACATAGAGTCCAACTGGAGGTCCAGAGCCCGCAAGAAGGACTCATGCCAGTCTCTTTTATGGATCTGTGCTGGGAAGGCCCAAAGGTCAGCAGTGGAAGCTAGGAAGTCTGTGCCAGTTGGGTGTAGGAGCTGTGCTGGTAGGTTGAGGATTCTATGCTGGAGCCAAAAAGTCTCGCTCAAAACAAGATCAGGGCTGTCCTGAAAAGCACCACAGCCATCCTCAGTGACACGGAGGCCCAGAGCTGCTCTGACAAGCACAGTCGAGTGCATGTCAGGAAGCCAGCGTGATGAGTTCATCCTGGAGACCAAGCAGCACATGTCTTCCCCTCTGGAGTCAGGAAGCAATGCTAGATGTGAGAACCAGAGCTTCTCCAGGAGAACCAGTGGCTCAAACAGCAACACCTAGGAGAACCCACAACGCCTCAATGCATTAACACCTCAGCACATAGCTTCTCCTTCTCTACGTCTCTATTTATGCTGGCAACTTTCCTCAGGTGCAACATCTGCACTCAGCACCATGCTGATGTAATCCAGCTGGCGTTAAGTTGACCACCAGTTTTAAATCCATAACATATCTCTTTCTTTGTTCCAATTTCCCTTGACTTTCTTTTTTCAGATGGATGACTCTCTGGGTAGTTTTCCTAAGCCAGAATGTCCATCTTTCATTACAAAAGTTTAGTTTGGAAGCAACAGCAGTATTTCTGGTATCTACATATTAGATAGTACTCTCTGTCCAGTTGTGACCAAAAATGCCTATAAACATTACCAAATGTCCCCTGGGAAGCTAATTATAATTTCTCTTCCCTCATAATGTAAACCATTGATTGGACACATTTTACTCCCCGCTCTGATTTTCTCCACTTGGACTCCAGTGAACTGCTCACAGACACACATCGGCATCCAAGATTTGAACTTTTAGCTGGGAAAAAAAAATCAATGATGACAGCTCCTACTCTTAATATCTGAGTAGAGGCTTCCTAGGACAGAACTGCCTACATAAATGATCCAGAGACTCAGCTGTTGGCCTGAGGACCATATTTCCACTGTATTCCATTTCTGTACTCCCACTCTGTTACTTGGTGACCTGCAATGTTTAAGTGTCACTTTGCTGCAAACACAATTGTTGCTGACCCGATCATCTCCCTTGGAGAAACCCTAATAACACAGTCTAATTTTTAATGGTAGGACACCACTTTCTTTGATATCCCTGCCTTCATTATTTGCTCTGTAATGCAGACTGGGAAAAGGCAAAAACTGGAGACTTCCACCCCCAATGTCTATGAAGACTTCAGTTCATGGAGAGTGTTTGGATCAGAATAAATGTGTGTGTTGCTTTAGTAATCTCACCTGTGACAGTATAAGTGCCAGCAATTGCCAGCAATATCAGTATGATCTGGTAAGCATCCAAGTCCCAAGCAATTTTCAAAAACATGGCGCCATAGCAGATTTCCACCTGAAATGAGTACAAGGTCAACAAGCTGTATCTTCACTTCCAGTGGCATAAAAAATTCTAAGAAAAAAGGAGGTGGGGAGAGCTTGACAACCTCATGCAAGAAGTTACTAGCCTCTCTGGCTAGTAACCCATCACCTGTGAACGCAGGTGAGGTCTACCCAAGTCTCAGACTCTACAAATTCAGCCAAGGTCAGTGTTTTATGGCTTGAGTTAACTCATCCATTAACACAATTTAACTGCTTTTACCCTGGAGGCCCAGAATAGGGAATGATCTCAGAGAGTTAGTTTTTCTTACTGCTCTGCCACTGAGAAAAAACCATGGAGACAGCTTCTCAGGGATCAGCAGCCTTTCTGTCCATTGGGCCAGATGGTATTATAGGCCCTGTGGGCCATCACTGGCTCTGTTTTTTACAACCTTTTAAAGCCATTAAAAATCATTCTTAGCTCAAGGGCTCTACAAAGCAGATCATTAGCTGGATTGGTCAGTGGACCAGATTTGTTGACCCCTAGCTTAGTAGTTGACACTGATTTTGAAACATCTGCACATCATTTAACTGACTAATCTACTGCTTTGCCACTCTAATCTTCAAAGCCAAGGATACAATGGGCGAAGATTCCTCTGTTCATTTATTCACCAAATGCTTACTGAATGTCAACCATGTTGTAGATAATCATCAGGGTTCAGAACACACAAGTGTTATCAAAATCTAGTCTGTGCCCTTAAGGAGGACATGGTGAATGAAGGAGAGTGACTACTACATTGCACATCCCACGTAGCATAAAAATGCCATTTACTTGGTTGTGCAAAAATGAAATCTATCAAGTGCCTTAACTGTTAAACATGGTCTCAGCACAGGGGGAAACGCAGTGAGCAAGTCAGGCCAGGCTGTGCACTTAGGAAGCTTATGATGAGGCATAGAACAGATAATAGACAAACACACAAATAAATTAGTCTAACATGGTGATAAACATTACAAGAAAAATAGAAATGGAGCCATGCCTGACGAGGCATATTCCTGGAAGACTTCTCCAAGGAGATGACATTTCTCCTTGAAGGACGGATGAGGAGTCAGCCACATAAAAATCTGGCAGTAGGATATTGCAGGCAGAGTACAGAGCAAGATCGGTGGCTCAAAGTGGAAATAAGCTAGCTGTATTTTTAAAACCAATAAGGCAGGCAGTATGAATGAAGGAGAGGAAATAAGGAAAGTAGTCCAGAGTGGCTGGGATTAGCACAGGCCAGTCCTTAGGGTCTTACTCAGGAATTAAAGTTTTCTTTTAAGGAGGCAGAATCTCCTGGACTGTTGTTTTTAGCACATTAGTTAATGATATGAGAAGGGTAATCCCGAAGTTCCCGAATACCCAGGAAGGACCTGTGAGCTATGCTTGAGAGATCCAAAACTGCCTCTGCTTTTTATTTTTTGGAAAGTATTATTAAATACTATTAATAGTAACATTAAAAACTATTGAACTAATTTACACAGTAGAGGCAAAAAAGTAATTTACATAGTCCCAGAGTAAACTGCGAGGATAATTTAGTGTAGGTCCGAGATCTGTCTGCTGGTTCTTTTGTTTTTTGCATGTGTGTGTATGGGAAAAGGGGCCTCTTTTCAGGCTGGTTTTTTAAAAACTCACCAAAATCCTACAGATGACATCAATGAATATAGCCAAAATAGAAACGAGGACCTGGAGCCGGATACTACCAAACCTCTTTCTCAAATATTCTGGCAGTGTTACCACCTGTACAAACAAGAGAGGTCACCGTGAGATGGAGAGTGAAGAAGAGACTGACCCATGGTATAAGCTTACTCTCAAGTGCCAGTTGTCACAGAGATGCTGCTGATGGCTGGGGTGGCATAGGAATACATGACGTGCAGTCACACCCTCTGGGACCAGTGACAATAGGAAATATAAGGAACCAGAGGCAATATTGCTATCTACAAAAACTGAGCCTGCTGTGGAATCTTAGGGATGCAGAAGGAAATCCAGGTATGTCAAAATGTCTAAAGATGACAAATCACTTTTATAGGATAATCATAGAGAAAAAGCAGTGCCTTGTCATTTATCATAAAAATAGCCAGTGCTCAAGGGACGTGGAAACCGACCCTACAGCTCCCCAAGCTCTCTCCGCCAACACTGCCAGTATAGGTGCCGGTGTCTCAGATGATCTTGGTCTATTTCTTCATCACTGTGAGCTGTGTATATCGAGTCAAGGACTGTGCCATGCCCTCTGTGCGCACTTAGTTCCTGGGTCCCCTACAGTGCCTGGTTCATGGAAGATGAATCAATAACTGTTAAATACTGTCTCACTTTCTTCTCTATCCTTGTATGCTCTTGTATGTTCACCTATCTACACATGTCTCCTTTTTAAGTTTTAATTCAAACTTCACCTGCTTGATGAAGAGTGTCACAGTGACCATATGCCTTTTCTAAGCACCTATAATTTTTATTAGTTTTACTTTTATTTGGGTCTTAATCATATCATGCCAAATATGGTTCACTTTTTCAGTGAGGCTCTAGCCTGCCCAAGTTGCTTTTATATCTATTGTTTGCATGAGTTTGCTAGGGACGCTGTAACAAAGTAGGGCTCTTTGGGTGGATTTAAACAACAGACAACTTATTTCCTCATAGTTCTGGAGGCTAGAAGTTCAAGATGTTGGCAAGTATGGCTCCTTCTGAGGGTTACGAGGGTTGGATTGTTCTGGATTTGGCTTGTCAATTGTCTTCTATGTTTCTTCACTCCTTGCTAATCTGTGTTTAAATTTCATCTTCTTATAAGGCCAAACTAGGTCCACCCTACTGACCTCCTAATGTTATTACTTTGTAAAGATCTTATTTCAAAATATGAGCACATTCTGAGATAACCCTTTCTGGGTTTATGTCCTCAAAAACTAGGGTTACACTTCATGACAAATTAGCCTTTCAAATTTTTTAATGTTCTCTAAACATTTTTTAAACAGCTTGGAGACATAATTTATTTATAGAACTCCCTCAGCCTGAAGGTGTGGTTTGATGAATTGAGAAGGATGTGTACAGTTGTGTAGTCACCGCCACACTCATGATAACAGTTCCAAGAAAGCTTCCAGAAAGCCCCTCAAGCTTTGCATCCAAGGCCTTCTCTCCACCTCTGATAGACACAATCAGTGTCTGCTGTCACCACGTTAACTCTTCTATGGGTTCAGATGAATGTAATCACACAAGATGAGATTTTCTCTTTTATGTCTCACTTCTTTCCATTGGTGATGCTGAGATTCATCCACGTGGTGGCACAATTCCTTTTTCATGCTGGGTAGGGCGCTGTATTACATGATGTTTATTTGCTTGTTCATTGCAATTTATATGATTTCTAAACCCTTGTATATTCTTTTAAATCTGGAAATCTTGTAAATTGTATGAATACAATTTCATTGAACCTTTGTGTACAAATTTATTTGTGAACATATTCTTTCATTTCTCTGGGAATAGAATGGCTATATCTCAAGGTTTAATTCACTAAGAAACTATACCTCCATGTGATTTTCTTTGTTTATTTGATTTCATGTTTTTTAAAAATTTCTTGGACCTATAAAATGAGTGTTTTCCACCATGCTTGGGAAGTTCTCAATCATTATTTCTTCAATATTTTTTGGCCAGTCATGATGACCCACACCTGTAATTCTACCACTCTGTGAGGCAGAGACAAGAGAATTACATTTGAGCCTCGCCTGGGCAATCTAGCAATTTTGCAAGACTCTGCTTCAAAATAAAAAACAGAAAAAGGGCTGTGGATGTTGCTCAGTGTGAAAGCTCTGGTTTAATACCCAGAACTACCAAGAAAAGAAAGCTGTCTCCTCCTCTCCTTTTTGTGGGACTCCAATTACATCCGTGTTGGACCATTTGTTATTATTATTTCAGGTCTGTGGAATTTTATTCCTTTTTCTTTAGTTTCTTCTCTGTTGTTTCTCCTGGATAATTCTATCTTAAAATTTCTAATGCTCTCTTCTGTCATCCTTAATCTGTTATGGAGCCCCTCTTGTGAGTTTTTCATTTCGGTTACTATGCTTCCCAATTACAGAGTTTCCACTTGCTTCTTTCCTAATTTCAGTTCATTTGTTGAGAAGTCCTACTTGTTCATCCATTAATATCAACATTTTCCATTACTGTTTTGAACAAATTTACAATATGAACTTTGAAGACTTTGTCCATTAAATTGACAGCTGAGCCCACTCAGAGTCACTTTCTATTTACTACTTTTTTCTTCCATAATATGGGGCACACTTATTATCTTACACACTTATTTTTTGCATATCTAATAATTATTGTTGGAAAATTGGTCATCATAAAAAATACAATGTAGAATACAATTCTAGAAACTGTTATTTTTTGGGGTATTGTTGATTCTTGTTTAGCAGGAAATTAACTTTTTTAAACTCATACTGAAAAATGTTTCATGCCACTCCCCAATCTTCCCTATGATGTGCTGCAGCTGACATTTCTGGTTATTTAAAAAAACATTATTTTTGCACTAATGGAGGTTAAATCCAGTGCCTTTGGACCTAGCTCTATGTACAGCTCTTTTTTATTGTGAGCTAGGACCTTGCTAAATCATTAAATTGCTTAGGCTGGACTCAAACTTGCAATCCCTTTGCCTGAGCCTTCCAAAGTGCTTGGATTATGGGAATTTAATGCTATGCCCAGTTTTGCTCATATTTTCTCCCCAGAGTTTCTAGTTGCTGCTAATTCAGCCTCATCCTCTGGAGATTTCCCTCGCACCTGTTTAGTTTGAAAGCCTACCAAGGATTTGAGCTAAATTTTTTTTTTTTTGGTCTTTTTGAGACAGGATCTTGCCTTGCTGTTCAGGCTGGCTTTGAGCTCACTTTGTAGCCCAGGCTGGTCTTGACCTCACAATGATCCTCCTGCCTCAGCCTCCTGAGTGCTGGGATTACAGGTGTGTGCCACTATGCCCAGCTGATTTGAGCCAAATTTATATTCAGAGTTGGTGGTTAGTTCCTTCATTTTTGGAGCTCCCCACCTAAATTTCCAGGTGTTTTGCCAGACCTCAGTTCTGTTTTCTGATACCTCAAACCAGTAAGACTTCTGTCTTCCACTGCCTATACTGTGTGGGTCAGAAAACTGACTCAGTTGAATGCACAGTAAACAAAAACAACCTTACCAGGTGCAGTTCTGTCTTTCTAGGCTGAATCTCCTTTTATTTTTTCCCCTTTTGTCATGAATCCATGTGTACATTAGTGATCAGCCAGGGATTTTGGATTTTTTCAAGCTTAAATCTTTTATATTTCTCATTTATGTCTTTAATCAATCCAAAACTATATTTTATTGTTTTGTTTTTATTTTTTACTTTTGATAGGAATCAAATCCAGGGGCTCGTGCATGCTAGGCAAGCAAGCACTCCAGGCCATACATTATTTTTTCTTACACTAATTAGGTGACATTTCTTTCTTTTAATTTTTATTAGTATGTGTTTGTAGCATATAATGATCACATTCTTTGTGGGGAGTTGGATCATGGACATAAAACATCTGAGCTTGTTTTTATCCCCTTTCCCTCCCTCCCTTCTCCTTTCCCTAATCTCTTTATCCTATTCTTATTTGCAAAAGATCTATTTTCTTATTTCTTATTATTTACCTTATATTTTGCATTTTGATTTTTATGTTGAATTTCATATAAAAGAAAACATGCAAAATTTAAGATTATGTGTCTCATTTATTTCACTGAATGTTACAGTCTCAAGACATCCACTTTTCCTACAAATGATGAAATTTCTCCTTCTGATTGTAGAGTTATACTCCACTATGTATAAATACCATATTTTCTTTATCCACTTATCAATTAATGAACATACGTCACTTCAAAGATTTAGTTTTTATGAGTTTGACTTTTATAAACAGGGGTATGCATGTATCAAATTAATGCTTTTTTATTTTGAAGAGTAAAAAAATAAAACTGATACAGAATTTCATAATAGAGAATTAACAATGGTTAATATATGGTATATTGTTATCTTCAAAGTAGTTGCTCGGGTTACAAGATATAGGCACGCAAAATTGATCAAACAATATAAGCAAAACTGTTCTCTTCAATGAACTGAAAGTAGCATAACTATCTTAGCCAGCTTTCCCTTCCTTCTTTTCTCCTTTCCCCATCCCAGCGATTTCTTTTTTGAGCAGTTTATTTCCTTTTCACAATATCTATTGTACCTTTTGGTTCTTATTTACTCTTTCAGTTTCTTACACTAAGGAGACAACTGATGTTTACACACATGAGTCTGATTTATTTCACTTAGGAGTATGGTCTCAAGTTGCACTTGCTTAACCTATAAAAGCCTCAAGTTTGTCCTTATTTGTAGCTGAATAGTACTGCATTGTATAATAATATCACATCTTTTAAAATCTATTCTTTGGTTGATGAGAATTTGGGTTGTTTCCAAGATCTAGCTATTACAAATTGTGCTGCTATAAAGATGGGTACACATATATTGCTACTGTGTGATTCTTTTAATGTTTCTAGGAAGATACACAGTAGGGAAATATCTGGGTCAAATGGGACCTCTAATCCTAGGTTTTTAAGAATCTCCATACTGATTTCCACAGTAGTTGCACCAGTCTACAATCCTATCAACGGTGGAGAAGGGTTTCTTTTTCCTCATAACCCTCTCAGCGTTTGTTACTGGTTGATTTCTTGATACTAGCCATTTTTTCTGGGGTGAGGTGGAATCTCAGTGTTGTTTCAAATTGCATCTG